TGTGCTCCTTGGAAGCAGGGCTGGGAGTGGGGGGCCGGGGGGAGGATGGAGGGCATCAGTATAGGCTCAGAGCCTTGCATGGCCAGGGCAGGCTTCCCCTGCAGTTCTTGGGCAGAGGGAGGGCCTAGAGACCCTTGCTACAGATGGGGAAACTGAGGCCCAGAGAAGGAGTGGAGTATCCATGGTGGGGCAAGAGGCTCACCAAGCAGGATGACTGGAGTGGGGGGCTTGGTCTTCGTGCCTGGGCTAAATGTCCCCAGCTGTGAGATGAGCAGGTGGAGTAAGGCGTTCAGCAAGACTCTGAGGGCCGGGTCTGAGGACACGGCCATGGAGGCCTGGGCTCTTGGCTCCAGACCCAGCATTTCCTGTGAGTGCCTTTGGGAGGCGGGGGGGTTGCACAGGGGCAGGTGGGGTGCTCTTGATGGAGCCTCCCTACCTGGGTGAGCTGCGCTGTGCTTTCAGGGGCCTCTGTCCGGCTACCACCTGCCTAGGCAGTCACAGAAGCTCTACAAGCCTCGCCTTCCTCTTCTGCAAGATGGGAATAGTAGACCCTTCTTGCAAGAGCCATCGGGTGGCTTTGCTAGGGTCAGCCGAGGCTGGGGTGCTGTCTCTCACTCTTTCCCACCCTGCGGAGTTCAATTAAACAGGAAAATCGCCTGGACTCCGGGTGGCTTTCATGCGGGAGGCTGCAGAGTGCGGATGTGTGGAGAGGTAATCTTCCTTCTCCTTTCTCCTCTCCAGGTCATTATCTGAGCTGGAGAATCTGGACTTGAAGTGGAGCATGGAGCACTCAAGAGAGGCTGGAGGGGCCTCTCCGGAATGAGCCTTGAATTGGAAAACTTCTCGTGAGGAGAGGCTGAATAAGGTGCAGTGTTTTGGTGTAAGGATAAGGGCAATGGAGGGGGACTTAGCCACGGGCTGGAGGTGCCTGGAGAGCCCTGGAAAGCCTGCAGAGGAGGCTGGGTATGGCTGTCCCCTTCTCTCGAGGCCATGGGCCGCACAGCAGCTGGTGGGGAAGGACGGAGAGGGGAGAGACCTCGTGGGAAGGGCAAGAAGGAGCAGGGTGCTCTGTGGGGTGTGGGTGTGGGCACTGAAGAGAGTGGCCGTGGGCACCATGCTGCGGGGCCTCCACTGTCACCGGTGGTGCAATATCCCCACTCCAAACAGGTCTTTCTCCTGGGGTGCACGGGACATAGAGCGGCTCCCAGGCCCCTCGGGCTAGTGGGGGCAGGGCTGGGCAGGTGGACAGAGCACTGTGGAGTGACAAACGCTACGACAGGAAGGCAGGTCCCCACGGGCCATGCCACAGGGATCTGGATTCAGAATGTGCAGCCCTCCTGCGGAGGCTCCCTGGAGCTGAGAGTCGCCATTGTCCTCACTGCCTCCTCCTCCCTCCTCCTCGTCCTCCCCTCCTCTCCTGCCCACTCCTCCCCCACGTTACCCACATAGCAGCTGCCCGGCCACGACCCAGGTAGATGTGAGAGGAAATTCTTGCTGTGCCAGGTGATGGGGCCGGGACCCACCAGAGCTGCTTGAAGCCCACCTGCCTGGCAGCCCCCAGCGGCAATCCCAGGTGGGGATTGTGCCACCTGCTCATTGTGGCCACGTGCCCCGGTGTCACTGCTCCTGGAGTTGGAGAATGTCTGCATTTTTAAATTATAGGTGATTTAAAAAAAGGCTACAAGATGAGAAAATCACCCTGGCCACAGGCCTCGGGCTCATCTTAATGACCCTTCCCTTTTCCCTGGAGCACCTCTGGTCTCCAGAGACTAAGTCCCAGTAATGGTGACACTCTTTAGCCCCCGAGTGCATAGCCCGGGTGGCTGAGCTAATGCTTACTGAGCATTGTCTAAAGGGCCTGGCCTGGGTGAGCTGAGGTGCTCAGAAGGAGCAGCTCACAAAGCCTGACATAGGGCCGTGTGCTGTGACCTCAGAGGAAGCTGCAGCCCCAGGGCACAAGAAAGGAGGGTTAGGGAAGCGAGGCCAGGGAGTGTGGGAGAGAACAGAGGGTTGTTCCTGGGCTGGCGGCTGCTGCAAGGGAAGGTACAGCTCTATCTCCCTCACGCAGAGCATGTCCTGGGCACCCCGCAAGTGCAAAGTGGTTCCAGGGAGGAAGGGCTGGAGGGTGTCTGCCAGTGTCTGCCCCCACTGGTACTGCGACTCCTCCAGCTCTCACCCTCCCCTTTGGGGAGGCCCCAGCCCCACAGCAGTGCTCCCATGGAGTCTAGAAGGATAAGGAGGTGGGTGACGAGGGTGGGGGGCCCCTGGAGTGTCTGCAGCTGTGGCTGGCACAGGTCTGGCCCTCATCCTGGGGCAGACAGGGACAGTGGGGCATTAGGAGATGGCACCCTGGGGACAACAGCCAGGACTCCCCGCTGGGCAAGGCAGGAAGCACAGGGGCAGGCGGGCTGTGACTCAGGGAGGCTCCATGATGGCATCTGTGGGAGCAGCAGGGGCTGAGAAACCCTCAGCCCAGATGGAGGGGGAGCAACGGGTCTTCCTGGAGGCGGGGTTGCCACAGCCAAACCTGCAGGACGAAGAGGATTTGGGCGGGAGAAGAAGGCGAAGGACTCTAGGTTGATTTGGACTGTTTTCCTTGACGGTAATGACCTGCTTCCTGATTAGGGAGAGAGCTGGGGTGGGGAGAGGATGTGGGTGTGGGGGATGAGGCCCTAGCTTTTCCAGCAGAGAGAGTGCTTCTCACTTCGGGGCAAGAAGGAGGCTGCAGGCCAGGCTTTCCTGCTCAGAGGCGCCATCTCCAGCCCCGGACCCACCCCGTTCTCAGGCGTCCTGGGCAGCTCACACCAGGCAGAGAGCACAGCCCGGGCCATACCGCATGGGACAGCAGGGGACTGTGAATGGGTGAGCCTGGAGTTCGGGGTCCAGGGAAGGGTGCAGGGTGGAGGGGCTCCCGCTGGCCTCTATTCTACAGGTGAAATAATGGGAGAACTGGAGTTATGGCTGGGTCACTTGATTTCTCAGCTGTCATGAGTCATCCCAAGTACACAACCTTGCTTTTATCTCCCCGAACCAAGGCGCCTCAGTTACTGCACTGATGGTCTCCCTGACAGGGAGGAGACACAGGCTCGGAGGAGACATTTCCCTACATGTGTAAGACATGGTACAGGTCATCGCCCCAGCAGCTTAGCCCAGCCCACTGCTGCTTGGGACAGGGCCAGACTGCCCTGGGCAGAGACACAGGTGACTCCACACAGGGCTGGACTCAGCGGATGGACCCGGGCTGCGCTCGTGTGCTGGGTCCGGTGCTCGCGGCGGGCACGTGGGCCTGGCGGCTCCGCTGGTGTGATGTTGCTGATGGTCCGGACCCCGTCCATTAGCTTACCAGAGGCCTCAGAATGATGATGTCATTTTACTTTTCTCTGCAAAGAAGCATTTCCCTGCCAGGAAGAAGCGAGGGCTCACCTCACTCTCCTTGTGGTCGGGCTCTTCAACAATGCCCAGTGCCAACACTCCGCGAGGTCCTTCCGGATCTTTCTCTGAGTGTGATGCCTCCTAGACAGCTCTCTCTGTTCCTTTCTTTACAAAACAAATTGGATGGCATTCAATGCATTGATCTGTGGCACGCTACATTCACTTCAGGTTATAAATTATGAACATTTTCCATGTCACTGCATAGAGAGCTGCTCATTTTTTATCCATAAACATTTCAGAGTATATCTCTGAAAGATGAGGGCTCTTAAAAATATACAACTGCTCCACCAGTCTCCCACCTGAAGGGAAGAACAGTCATTTCTCTATAATGCCCTCCACCAGTCAGGCTTCCAGTTTCTCTGTTTATATCATGAATGCTTTTTAAACAAAATTTCGATTAAAATTATTTTCAAAATGAGGGCCGGGTGTGGTGGCGCATGTATGTAGTCCCAGACACTCTCGAGGCTGAGGCAGGAGAATAGCTTGAACCCAGGAGGCGGAGGTTGCAGTGAGCCAAGATCGCGCCATTGTACTCCAGCCTGGGTAACAAGAGTGAAACTCTATCTCGAAAAAAATAATCACTTTCAAAATGAGGCCTGCACGAATCCTCAAGAGGCCCCTCAGATCTCCTAGTTCACGGGGTCCCCTCTATCCCTCCCTGCCTCCTCTATTCTCTTTGCAGGTAACCTGTGGAGAGGCAGCCTGTGTCCTGGGACCCTGCAGTCCTGGTCCCTGGTGGGGAGTTCTGAGCCATATCAGCGTTGGGCACTGGTGTTCCTCAGTGAGGAAGTGCAGGGTGACTGCCTGTCCCTCACCTGTGTGACATTATCTGCCATTGCCTGCCACATCCCACCGTTATCAGGGAGTCACAGGTTGGTGATGAGAGTTTCTCAGCCTTCTGCTCTCCTTGGCTGTAATGCCTCCCAAGGAAGGAGCGTTCGTTCACTCAGCTGTCAGCGACATGGGTTGTGGGTCTGTAGGACGGACCGTCTGGAGACACGCTGGATCCTCTGCCTTTATTTGCTGGTTTCCCAAACAACAAGCTGGTCTTGCTTCCTCCAGCGGTTGCCCATGAGGCTTTTCTTCATTCTGAATGTGGGATGTTGCATGTCTTTGATGGGTTTCAACCCTCCGGGGTTAGGATCTGCGTTGATACGTAATTCCTCCCACCTTCGGCTTGGGGAAAGCTCTTCGACTCAATTCCTGATGGTTTTGACATGATTCCAGAAAGCGTTGATGGCTTCCTTGCTTTGGTGGTTTCAAGAAGCTCCAGGCTCCTCTTGGCTATTTCCTGGCCCAGCCCGATAACCGGCCATTTCTCCAAGTAGCTTTCCAGTCCCTGGGCACCGGGAGCTGCGTGCTCACTGCTCCTGAGCTGGTTTGTTCTTAGGCCGGCTAGGAAAACCTACTTTCTTAAAGATTAAAAAAATCACAAATTTATGCAGATTCCAGCCGATCCAACTGAGGCTTGCAGGATCTGACTCCGTTACTGCCCTTCGAGCTCGTCCGTCCCTTCTCTCAGGCTGACGAAGGGGGCTCCCGGACTTGGTGAGGTCAGTCTTCTTATTTTATCTTTGTGTAAATGCAGCCTTGGAATAGCCACCGATATTGCCAGTTTCTTTATTTTTATTTTTGCTTCCGTTTCTTTCTGTCCTTGGGGTCTAGCCCGCAGGAATACACCGTAGAACGTCTGTGTCTGACGCTCACATCAAACGCTCCCTCCGTGCGGCCATGCTACCACTCCATACACGGTTCTGTTTTGCTTTTAACTTTTAGGGATTGTTTTTCCAAAAATGTAATTTTGTTGTGTAATCACATGAGTGTTGGCTCGGGAGATTCAGAGATCCTGGCTCTGGTCCCTGTTCGCTCTGTTCAGTCCTCTTCCTTCACTCTCTTCCCTCTGCTTAGGTGCTTTCTCCTTCAGCCTTTGCTGCGGCCCTCCATTGTTTTAAATATATGCAAATGGCTCTGCTTTCCCTGTCCCTCCTATTTGCGGGTGCCCTGGCTCAGCTCCTGCACACCTACCCCTGTTTTTCTCACCAGCAGTTCCTAGAGATCACTCCCCACAGCCACCCCCGTCGCTCTTAGTGACTCCAGGTCTTTAGCCCAGGAAGTCCCGCAGGAAGGCTCCCTCCCTTCCCACACCCGTCCTGCAGCCTACAGGCTATGGTAAAAGGGACTCTGGAGGGCCCAGGTGGTCCCCCTTCCCTGCTGTCTTGGCCTCAGCTGACCTCCTGCTGTTGCCTCTGGCTGGGGTCTCCTCATCATCCTCGTTCGCAGGCCCTGGCGCGTCACACCCAGGGCCGACCTCTTCGGCTTGCGATCCTGGCTCTGCTGTGCCTCCACTCTAGAGGGAACTCAAGGTGACCAGTGTATCTTGTGTCCCTGTCCCCTGGTTCCTGAGTGACCAAGGATGTCCCCAGGGCTGAGTCACCCTGAGAGTCACAGCAGCCCAGGTTGCCTCTGTGGCCACGGTGCCTCAGAGATGTCCATGGAGAAGGCTCTTGCACCTGGGGCATTGAAAGGCCTGGGGCTCCCAAACCTGGTGACACGGGGACCTTGGCCCTGCCTGCTCCAACTGGAACCTCTGTGGCCCCAGGATGACGGCACCTAGTGGCAAGCCTGGGGGATGTGGCCCTAGACTTACCCTCTCCTCTTGCCCCCGCCTCACCCTCCATGGCCCTCCCTCACTTCCCTAGGTAACAGCCGCAGTCACGTGGGTTTCAATTCTTCCTGCTGTCTGCATTCTTCTCTGCACACACTGCCTGGCGCCTTGCGCTGGCAAACTTCTTGGGGGCCCTTGATCTTACTTTAAACGTCTTTCCCTGGTTTCCAGTTCAGCTCAGGACCAGTTCTTATGTTTCCTCCTGTTTCTCCTGTGTCCCATTCCCTTCTTCAGAGAGCTCTCAGCGCAGTGCTTGGGAGCAAGACTGAGGCTCTGGTACCAGGTGGCCTGGGTTTGAATCCTTGCTCCACCCCTCACCTGCTGCTCAGTTTCATCACCCATCGAGTGACAGTGGTGATAACAGTAGCCCCAACTGTTATGAGGTGCCAACCTAAACAACACAGAGAGTCTCTCTAAGAGAAAATGACGTTTATCTGGGAATAGGCATTATTGGGAATCCCCATGCCACAGTCAACTATGGGTATCTTCAGGGGGGTAAAGGAAGACAAAAGTTCTGAAAGAAAAATGAGGAGGATTACGTCATTGTTTTGGGACAATTATTCTTGCCTTCCAAAATCAGTAGCAAGGGTGGCATGAGTCTGAGTTTGGACAGGAAGCTGCTGGGCAGACGTCCTTGAGCAAGTGTTTCGTGAGATCCTGAGCTTTAACACCAGCAGGCGCAGGGTCCCTCTCCCCTGCTCTGTCCTGGTTTCAGAGGCTCGCCGGACCATGTGACTTCTGACATGCGGGGTTCTAACCATGCGCCAGGAATGCTCTAGCTGCTTCGAGGGTCTTATCCCACTGAGCTTCGTGGCAGCCCTGTGAGAGGGCTGCAGCACAGAGAGGGTAAGGGATCTGCCCAAGGTCACATAGCATATTAGCGGCAGAGTCGAGCTTTGAAGCAGGATCCTGGGTCCAGCTATGCTTCCTGTCTCTTTGTTTCTCTCCCTTGAGCTCAGACATGTGTGGCCTCTTGACAATGCTCACCTGAGCCAGGAGAGCCATCTCTCTACATGGAAACTTTATCCCCACTGTCGAGGCTCCCTAGCCTGCCCTCTGACCTACTTTTCCAGACACACCTACTGTTGTCCTTTCCCTCTCTCACTCCCTGGAACTCAGCCTTCATCACTTGGCCTAAGAGATGCCGCCACCATCATACACCTTTGTAAGGACAATGTCCTCCCAGTCCTCAGCAGGACAACTCCTATACATCCTTCAAAACCCAGCTAGACAACACTTCCTCTTCAGTCCTCCCCTGATGCTCACCTGCCTCAGCAAAGTTAGTCCTGCTGCTCAGAGCACAGCCTGTGCCTCAGCCTGCCACCTGCACCCCTATGTAGCCGTGTGGCCATGGGCCAGGCGTGAGTCCTCCTGAGCCACAGTTTCCCTCATCTGGAAAACAGGGGTGATAGTAGTCATACCCCCTCCACAGAGTGTGGGTGTAAGGTGGTTCTGTGGCATCTGGAACAGGGCTCTCTCCTTGGGGCTGGTTATGGTGACAACAGCAATCACTGTGAGTGTTGTTTGTCCTGGTGGTCTTGGGGACCTAGAGCTCCCCTAGACATGACAGTGGGCGACATAGGGACAGTGATGGCCTCTTCTCTGCTGCACCCACGGAGTTGGTGACTTGGGGACTGTCACAGGCTCTGCTTGCTTTGCTTTTCTCCTGGCCACCAATCCGAGGGGCTTTAAGTCCATGGCAGCCAATGGGCCACCTGGGAAATCTGGAAATCTCGAGTGTCTGTGGAGAGCTGGCATGCTTTGTGCAGCGTGGGAAGCCCAAGGGAGATTTTAGCCACCTATGTGGGGTGAAGCAGCCCACGGGCCCTGGCCTCTCAGCTGCCACGCTGTGGAGTCTCTGGGAGCCTCGCGGGACTCGCCCGCCTGCCACACCTGCAGCTGGGCTCGATGGTGTGTACAAACACCCCATTATGTCTGATTACCAGCCATTAGTGCAATTAGGGTAGCCCCTCCGCGTCCCGGGGCTCCAGCCAGCTGTGCCGGGGGCGTGGGGCAGAATAGCAAACAGCCTCCTCCAGAGCCTGCGCATCGGCTGGCGGGCCTGGGAACCGTGGGCTGGGGAGTCCCAGTGAGCCTGGCTGGAAGGCCGGGGCTCTGGAGCATGGGGCCACCCGGTGGGCGGGCCCCTCCTCCTCCCCACCCTTTGCACTGCCTTGGTGCTGCCTGATGGTGTCTTTTCCCTCTGGGCTTCTTACCCTAAGCCCTCCCGATGTGTGGGGTGGGGAGTCTTTTTGGGGCATCCCATAGCCTGTAGGATGTCAGCTCCATCCAGGGCCTCCACTCGCTAGAGGCCAGCAGCATCCAGCTCCCAGAGTTGTGTCAGCCAGAGGCTTCCAGACGTGACTAGCGTCCCCCGGGGGCAGGACCCACCATCCTGGTCTCGGCAGCTCTTTCCAGCCATTGCTGCTGAGTGCTTGGCTGCTGTATTTGCGTGTTCCCTCTCCAGCGCTGTGCTGGCTCCTCTGCCTGCTCCCGCCCTCCCTGCCTCTCTTTCATCCCTGTAGAAAAAGCCTTTCAAGCCCAAACTCACAGTCACCTCTGGCCTGTCACCCCCAGGGATGCCCTAGTCGGAGAGGCCCCACGTTGCTGCTCCCCTGACCACGCATGCTAGCACGCGGCCCCAGCCTGCGGGGCTTCAAAGGGCCATTTGAGGTATGCACTTGATCAGGGAGGAAGAAAAGAGGCCAGTGGCTGTTTGTTCTGGGACTTGGGAGTGAGCTGTGGCTCTTCAGAGCTCGGCTGGGGGGCATCCTCTGTGCCTGGCCTCGTGGCCCCGGCCCCGGCCCCACCCCCGTGGGCTGATTACTTCCCATTCCCTGCTCAGCACGGCTGATACATCACTGTCCTGTTTAACCAATGTATTCACCACTTCTAAGGCAGTCACTTCCCACATGTTCACTGGCAGGAAGTTGGGATGCATCTGTGGGAGCTGGGGTCTGATGGGAGCTGCTGTCTGGTGGGAGTCAGGACTCAACTGCCGTGGCCTGTGAGTGTGTGAACTTGAACTTGTGAGGGTTGATTGCAACATGCGTGTGAGTCTTCACCCAGTCTCCATGTGTTTTGTGGCATACGATGCTGCTGCTTCTCCCATAAAGAGGTGGCATCAGTTCCCAAGGTTTCCCAGAGACAGAAGGGGTTTAAGAGATGGGGGACTTTCAGCAATAAAATTGTAAAAATTGAAGCAAATTGAGGCAAGCTGATCCTGTTTGTCCTCCATCCCTCGAATCAGCGTTGGTCCTGTGAGTGGGTTTTCCAGTACACTGTGGCTGGCCAGATGTGTGCTGGAACTGGGTTCCTGCCCCTGATAAGCCCAGCCCCTCACTGGTCGCGTATTTCCATGTCGCACCCCCCCACACCCCCACCACAGCTGCTTTCCAGCTACCAGTGTGAGGCCAGGGAGCTCAGGTGGAGCTGGGAGGTGACGTGCACACCACTCTCTGGCTCCACACTACACGTGGCAGGGGGAGCTTTCGTGAGTGGAGTCGTGGTGTTGTGGGCTTCTGCTCCTGGCACCCTGCACCTGCCCTGCCCTGTGGGCACCCGGGCCGGCGGCTGGAGGAGAACACGCAGACTGGGCCACGTGGTCCCAGCTAGGGCTCTGTGGACCGGCCTATGGCCAGTCTACCCCCAAATACACGGGAGGCCAGAGCTGCCCACTCAATTCACAGCTGAACTCAGATGCAGGGTTACTCCTGCTGATCGAGAACCAGGCGCTGACCTGTGCACTCCCGAACTCGTTGTTTTCTGTTGTTTTAAGCACTGCCGTTGCTTTAATTGTATCGTACGACGCAGTTCTTCATCTTGGGTGGTTTGTGATGCCACGGTACCTGGCCGAGGCAGAGATGTTCACGCTGCTTTTCCTTCAGTTGAGTTCTGTGTGCTGTTGACATTGCCGGGTCGGGTCTAATGACCACATAGAATTGCTTTAAAGGTGACACTGATTCTGCATGGAGTGGAGCTTATCACACACAGAAGAAAGGACAGAGCAGTGGGGCTCCCTTCTACATCAGGGAGGCAAGTGTTCATCCTGGAGGAGATGACCATGGCTCCGTATTTTTTTTGTAAACCAGCCACCAGGTGCTTGCTGTGCCCGGGAGCTCTGCTCAGCACAGACGTGTATACAATGGCTGCCTAGCGCAGGACGAGCGGGGCAGCTGGAGGCAGGAGAAATGCCGCGCACCTGGGAAGAAACAGAAGCAATTGCCCAGTCAAGAGATGCTGTGGTAACCCTGAGTGTGCATCACAGGAGTGTCACAGCCGGTGGCATTGTCACACTTGTAGTGTCTGAGTGTCATGCAGAATCATGGCATCTTAGAATCAACGGCATTCAATGTGATAGAATAGAGCATCCATGATTTACGTCCTGTACCCTCGCCATAGACCACCAGCCCCATGTGGGTGAGGACCTCGTCACAGGGGGAAGAGCCAGAACACGTGACCAAGCAGGCACAGTGGATCGCAGGGGCGGCGATGTCGGATGAGGAGCCACAGCCCTGGCCCTTGCTCTTCCAACCCTGGGGAGCCGGGCACACTGCTCTTCTCTCTGTTCCTTTGTGTCTCAGTCACCTCACCCTCGGAGCAGCCCTGAGGCAGGGCAGGGTGGCTGCCAACACACCTGTTCTGCAGCTGAAGAAACAGAGGGCAGCGGCAGAGGGGCCAGCTTTGTGGAGGTGGCTTGGGCAGTCCCAGAGGCCACATGCAGAGGTTCTCAACGCTTTGTTTGACCCTCTGCCGTGGCCTTGGTTTTAAACCAGGACCCCATAGTTTTATTTTGCACTGGACACTGCAAGTTGTTTAGCTGATCCTGGAGACCAGGCTTCCCGGGGGCTCATTGCAGAGCCAGGGTTAGAGCCCAAGGCTCTGACCTCAGCTGGAGCACATCGTACATGGGACTCACCATAGCACTGGGACTCAGGGCCACCACTGGCCACATGGCCTTGCCCAGGCCGAGCAGATAGTATGGACTGTCATGTTCCTCTGGCCTGTGGCCTCCTCCTAGCAGGACTGAATGAGTCCACGCTGGCTTCATCCATGATAAAGCATCGGGCTGGCGTTTGCACGATCCTCACCATCGCTGTTGGCATTGTGTGAGCTGTGGCAGCCGACGGGCAGTTAAGGAACCCAAAGAAGGGGCCAAACTTGGCTGCGGGTCCCACTCTGTAACCCTGAGGTGGGCATCAGGGCCCACTGATGGCCTAAGACCCTAAGGGGCTTCTCCATCTCAGCCCCAGCATCCAGACACCGACCTCTGAGGGGCAGAGGTGAAGGGACGACCTTGAGTCAGCCTGGAAGGTGAACGGCACTAATAGACGCTTATTTCTAAAATAGCACTGACTCTCCGGCAACCGGTTATTAACTTGGGGAAAGGGAGTGAGTGCTATTTCAGGCCTAACTGCAGAAAAGCATTTTCCTTTCAGAGTTTTTCCTGAACTTTTCACCCGTGCCCCCATGAGGAGCAGGGATAGAGAGATCAGCCCTCTCCTCAGGGTCCCAGGAGAGCAGCAATGACTGACGGGGTGAGCCACGAGCACAGGGGCAATGGGACAGCCGCCTTCAGTGAGTGGCTCTGAGGCTCCAGTACGTGGATCCAGCCTGCGGCCAACAGGGCAAGGGCTGCACCTGGCCATGCTTGTCCTTTCCCTCTGCACTGAGCACCTGCTTTTCAGGTGGCTGTTAGGATTTATGTTTATAGCTGGGGTCAGGACCTAGTCTAGGATTAGAGTCAGGGTTCAGCCTGTGTTCAAGGTCAGGACTTAGCCTGTAAGCAGGATCAGGGCTCAGCATGGACCAGGATCAGGGCTCAGTATGAGCAGCATCAGTGCTCAGCATGGGTCAGGATCAGGGTTTAGTATGACTCTCTGAGGGGTAGGGGTGGGATCAGGCATCGATCTGAGCTGGAAAGTGGGGTGTGCATCCTCACCCTGGTCACTGTGTTGACTCTGCCCCTGAGGTACTGTGCAGTTCTCAGCTCCCCGTGGCCCAGGCAGCTCTGGGAGAATCGTGGCCTGGGAGGTTTCCTGGGCATCTTGTGAATGAGTGGTCTCTGACTATTCCCTTCCCCCACCCTAGCTGATGGTCTTGGTCGGGGGAGGCCTGCACTTCCAGTGGGTTCCCCTCTGCACCAAGCCCTGACTGCAGAGTCTAGAGTCTCCAAGGGAGCATCCAGACCCCAGGGAAAGGAGAGAGAAGACCTGAAGCCAGCTCCTTCATGGGACTTTGTGAGCATGTCCCTCCCCTCCTTCAAGCTTTTGCTGCAGACCAGGCAACAGGTCTCTTTATTAAAACTGTGCATCAGGCTGGTTGCAGTGGCTCACACCTGTAATCCCAGCACTTTGGGAGGCCAAGGTGGGAGGATCACAAGGTCAGGAGATTGAGATCATCCTGGCCAACACGGTGAAACGCCGTCTCTACTAAAAAATTCAAAAAATTAGCTGAGTATAGTGATGGGTGCCTGTAGTCCCAGCTACTCTGGAGGCTGAGGCAGGCGAACTGCTTGAACCCAGGAGGCAGAGTTTGCAGTGAGCTGAGACCGCGCCACTGCACTCCAACCTGGGTGACAAGAGCAAAACTCAGTCTCAAAAAAACAAAACGAACACTTCATTAAAGAAAAATGCAAAGCCAGGAGCAGGAGGGGAGGTAAGCACACACAGGGCCAGCTTGCCTGGCCAGGCTGGGCATTTCCAGCAGGCCGGACCTGGGGGTCGGAGGGCCTCCTTTCATACATGGTGGCTTCCTGCCTCAGCTTCTGCACAGTGCTCAGGTGTTTCTGGATAACAGTGGTGGTGAACACACTCACAGAACGTACCGAAACTCGGCCACTTGTCCCTTCACCCAGTTTATTCTCAGATAAGCTCTGAGGCAGGGACTGTGATTCTCACTTTACAGATGAGGACACTGGAGGACAGGGAGGCTAAGTAGGTTGCCCCAGGCCCCCACAGCCAGCAAGAGGAAGGGCTGCATTTCTCACTCGACAGGCTGGCTCCAGGGGCCATGCAGTGAACCCCCACTTTCCCTGCCAGCCCCCACTGATGGCATCTGCTGGCGCTGGGGATGGGCCACAGACCCTCCAAGTATACCTGGACCTTAGTGCCAGCTGAATGCACACAGGGGATGATACAGCTGGGAGCCATCTTCAGGCCTTCCCCAGTCAATTCTGGGGCTCTCTGCCCAGTTTTGGGTCCCGTTCCAGCCTGAGAAGAGGAAGGGACTCCTCTCTGAGGAAAACGCAATGTCCTGCTGTCCACCGCCACCCCACCACACCGAGTCTACTGAGAGCCAGGGTGGGGCCAAGGGTTGTCTAGCCCGTGTTTTGATTGGCACCCTGCTCCTTACCACTGGGTGATCTTGAGCAAAGCACCCAGCTCCCTGTAACCCTTATTTCATCAGTGCTAAAGTGGCCATCAGCATCTTGCCCACAGGCTATAGTTTTCCTGGATGATTCAATGAGGCAGTGGACTCTGGGGTGCTCTGAAGACTGGAGGGGCCTCCTGGGGATGGGCTCCGTCTGAAACAGTGGGAGGGGGTGAAGAGGAGGGAACTCTCATCTGCCGTGTTCAGGATCTGTTGATTTTATCGATCATTTCAAATAACTAGCTTTTTGTTTCATTGATTTTCTCTGCTTTTTTTCCTGTTGTTTTCAACTTTATTGACTTCAGATCTTACCTTTACTCTTTCCTTCCTCCTGATTGCTTTGGGTTTATTTACTCTTCTTTTTCTAGTTTTTGAGGTAGGAGCTAAGACTATTGATTGGGGATGTTTCCTCTTTTCCAAGGTGAGTATTCAGCGCTATAAAATTCCCTCTCAGCACTCCTTCCACTGTGTCCCACAAATTTTGATGTGTGATAGTTTCATTTTCATTTGGTTCAATGCAGGTTTAAAAACTTCCCTTCAGGCTTGCTCTTTGACTCATGGATTAAGTCATTTCCAAGTGTCTGGAGATGTTCCTGTTGTCTTTCTGCTATTGATTTCTAGTTGGATTCCATTTTGTTGGAGCACACACTCTATGATTTCAATTATTTTTAATTTGTTGAGGTGTTATGACCCGAGGCAGGTTCTGTCTTGGTATATGTTCTGTGGGCACTCAAAAGGAAGGTGTATTCCACTGTTGTTGGATGGAGTGTTCTATTAATTTCTGGTTAGACCCTATTGGTTGATGGCATTGTGAAGCTTTTCCATAGCTTTGCTGATTTTCTGTCTAGTGTGCTATTACTCTCACAGGAGTATGGAAGTCTCCAGCTGTAATTGCAGATTTGCCTGTTTCTCCTTTTGGTTTTATCAGTTTTTGCTTCCTGTATTTTGTGCCTCTGTTGTTTGGTGCATGTGCATTTAGGATTGCTATGTCTCCTCAGTGGACTGACACTTTTACAATTATAGACTGTCCCTTTCTGTGTCTGTTTCTGTCATCTTCCCCTTTAGGGCCTATTTCATCTGACATTAACACAAAATTCTGCTTTCTTAGAATTGTTTGCATATGTATCATTTCCCATCCTTTTCAACCTGTCTGTATTATCATATTGAAAGCAAACTTCTTGTAGGCAGCTTAAGATTGGGACATGTTGTTTAATCCACTCTGTTATCCCGTCTTTTAACTGATGTATTTAGATCATGTACATTTAATGTAATTATTGGTATGTTAGGACTGCCATTTTATTTTCGTTTTACGTGTATTCTTTTTTTCAGTTTCTCTCTTTTCTTTTCTCTGTCTTGCTGTTGGTTACTTGAATAATATTGTTAAAAATGTCATGTTTCATCTATTTGTAGTGCTTTTGATTGTATCTCTGTATTTTAGGGGTTACTCGAGGTATTACATTATACGTATATAAGATCACAGCATACAGGTGTCATTGCATTATCAGTTCCAGTAAAGTGAGGAAGGCATACCTGCTTATATGGTACTTTACCTTCCCCTATTCATAATAATAGTTTTAAATATTTTCTGTACATAAATTTCAAACTTCATACAGTGTTATAATATTTGCTTCAACTTTTAAACATGATTTAGAAAATTTAAGAGAAGGCAAATTTATTGCCTTTAGCCATGTTTTCATTCCTTCTATTGTTCTTTCTTCCTCCCTTGTTCCACAATTTCTTCTTTTATTTTTTTTGGTCTGTTTATAGAACCTCCTTTAGCCATTTTTTAGGGGTCTGTCTGCTGGTGACATTCTTCACCTGAGAATGTCTTGATTTCTTTTTCATTATGAAAGATGTTTTTGCTGGATATATGACTCTTGGTTGACAGCTTTTTTTCTATCAGTATTTGAAAAAAGTGGTGTCACTTCTATCCAACCTCAAGATTAGAGATGAAAAACTCTCTGTCACTTGACTTGTTTTCCCCCTATAGATGAAGTGTCACTCTTTGTCTGCTTTCAAGATTTTTTTCTCTTTCCCTTCTGCTTTCAGAAGTTTGACTATGGTGTGTCTTTGTATGATTTTTTTTGTGTGGGTGATCATCCTGTTGGGGGTTCATACACCTTGAATCTGTATCCTTATTTGCATAATATATCATTTCCCATCCTTTTCAACCAGGATCCTGAGAAGTTCTCAGTCATTATTTCTTCAAGTACAATTTTTCGGCATCTCTCTCTTTCTCCTGTGTTTCCAGAGCTCTGATGACAGAAATCTTTTGTTATGTCCACAGGTAGCCAAGGTTCTACTAATTTTTTTCAGTATATCTGCTTCTGTTGCTCAGATTGGGTCAGCACTACTGTTCTGTCCTTAAGTTTTGGATTCTTCTCTCTGTCTCCTGATTCTGCTGCTGGGTCCATTCGCTGAGTGTTAAAATTTCAGTTATTAAATTTTTCAGTTCTAAAATTTTAATTTGATTTTTCTTTATATCTCATTCTTCTGTGCTGACTAATTCTCTGCAGTACTTTTTATTTTTTCATTTGTTACTTGTGTGTAATTGTTCACTGAAGCATTTTAGGATGTCTGCTTTAAACTCTGTCAGATGATCCAAACGTCTTTGTCAACTCATTGTTGGCATCTACTGCCTGTTATCTATCATTTAATTTGAGATCTTTCTGGTCCTTGATGAGTACTTTTTGGTTGAAACCTGGAATTTTGGAGATTATGAGACTCTGGATCTTATTGAAACCTTCTCCACTGACACCCTGTGTGGACTTTGTTACACCTGGCAGGGGTGAAAATCTTGGCTTTCCATTTGGCCTTCTCTGAGACTACCCTGATAGGAGAGGGAAAGGGAGATATAGCAAAGGACATTCAGGAGGAAGAAGATACCAGATGAGCAAGAAGAAAATGGAAGAGACAACAACAGGGAACATAGAAAGTAGAGCCACTAACTCAGATGTTGAGAGGGAGATTTTCAGAGAGAGAGAGAGAGAGAGAGAGAGAGAAAAAGAGAAAGAGAGAAGTCAAGGCACAGATTCATAGAGAGAAGACTTATTGAGACAGAGACAGCCCCACATCAGCAGAGATGGGGGCAGGAGAATGCGGGGCCACACATACAGCCTGGGGGCTGCAAGTGAGCCAGAGACCTTCCTTCCACACCAAGATAAAAGAGGGTGCTTGTCTCAGGAGAAACCCCGAGGACCTGGCTGAGGAGTCCTGAGATAACCTCAAGTTCTTCTCCTAGATGGGAATGCCCTTCTGCTTCATCATCCCTTCCCCACCCACTCATCTGTTGGTTCATCCACAGATCTGAGGTGGGCTCTTCTTTGGTGTCTGACTCTGAGGGGTGGGTGACAGTGGCAGGCTTTCTGTCTCCTCAAGGGAGTGGGTTATGCAGAAGGTGTGGGTTGTGAAGCCTGGTGGATCCAGCAGTGCCCTCTGGCTAGATCCTTCACTATGCTAGGCCTCTCATGGGGGAGTGCAGCTACTGGCTACCATTTTCTTGGTGCACCTAACTTGTTGCAGTGAGAAGGAACTTGACTCGACTATCCCAGCCCAACTCAAATCACTAATCTTCAGAAGCCTCCCAGACAACTCTTCACATAGTAACTATAGTGTCACAAGAAGAGGGAACAACATGACCTTGAAAGATATTACAAAAAGTAGACAGGCAAGAGAAACCCACTACCTTCCTCTTCCTAAACTCAAACTGGACCCCACATCAGGAGGTCTGGTAGAAATAGTGTGCTTTTTCTTAAGCCATTATCACCACCGCCATCATCACCATCGCCATCATCACCATCACCATCACCACAATCACCATCATCACATCACCATCATCACCATCACCATCATCACAATCACCATCATCACCACCATCATCACCACTACCATCATCACCATCATCACTATGGACATCACCATCATCACCACCACCATAATCACCATCATCACTGCTGACATCACCATCGTCACCATCACCACAATCACCATAATCACCATTATCATCACCACCATCATGATCACCATCATAATCATCACCACCATCACCATTATCACCATCACCACCACCACCACCATCACCACCACCATCATCACCATCACCATAATTACCATCATGATCATGATCATCACCATCACCAGCATCACAATCATCACCACCACTGCCATCACTACCATCACCATCACCATTATCACTACCAAGATCACCATCATCATCACCACCATCGTGATCACCATCATAATCCACCACCATCACCATCACCATTATCGCCATCACCACCATCGCCATCACCACCACCACCATCACCATCATCACAATCATCACCACCACCACCATCACTACCATCACCATCACCATTATCACCACCACCATCATCACCATATCATCACCATCATCACCATCACCATCACCATAATCATTGGCACCATCATTGTCATCATTATCACCATTACCACCACTATCATCGTCACCACCACCATCATCACCATTGCCATCATCACCACCACCACCACCATCACCACCATCATCATAATCATCACCATAACCACCACCATCATCATCATAATCACCACCATCATCGTCATCATCATCATCACCATTACCACCACTATCATCGTCACCATCACCATCATCACCACCACCATCATCACCATTGCCATCATCACCACCACCATCACCACCACCATCACCACCATCACCACCATCCTCACAATATCAACACAAGAACAGTGATAACAACAAACATTTATTGAGCACTTATGCACTAGATGCTATGCTGATCATTTTGTTTATGTTATTTCATTTTCTTCTCATCATAACCCTATAAGAGAGACACTATTATCATTTCTTTTGATATGAAAAAACTCAAACTCAGAAAGGCTAAGTAATTTGCCTAACCTCACATAGGTAGCTTGTAGTAGAGCCAGGCTTCAAACTCTAATCTGTCTAACACCAAAGGCCTGGTCCAGCGGGAACTGGTAACCACAGGCCTTTCCCTGCACTCTACATAAGCATGCACCTGCAGAGGTCAGGGGAGCCTGTTGCTCAGGACGGGTTGGCTGGAGCTCAGCCTTGGGTCCTCTGCCTAACCCGCACCCCTGCCCCCAGCACTGGCCCATCCACAGGAATGTTCTTTCACTTTCTCTGGACATTGTGCAGCCAAATGTGGATGGAGCTCTTCTCCCTTCCTCAGCTCCTTCTGTTTTCTTCCCTTTTCCCCACTGAATGTTGCACGATGTTCAGCAAAGAGTGAGCACCAGGGTCGTCTCATGGACAGTGTAAGACTGTCCTCAAACCTTTCTCATAGATGATGGAAGACGGAGCTGCTCCAGGGAACTCGAGACAGCCCATTCCAAGAGTGGGTCTTTAGCTCCACGTCCACTTTGGAAAGAAAGTGAGGCTCCTTTGTCTCAGGGTCCATGGGGGAGGCCTCAGGAAGATGTCTGATTGGCTTGCATGAGCCCATGTTATAGCAGGTGTAGGGGCACCATAATAACTAGCCCCATCTGGACCCTAAGGAGAGGGGACACCTGGGCTCCACAGGGCAGGCAGTCCTGGATGCAGGTCCTGGCTCAATGATTTATGACAGTGGGGGCGTGTCTGTACATGCTGAAACTTCAGTTTCTACATTTCAAAGTGAAAATTCCAGGGACCACATCACAGGGCTATTGAGGTGAGGCAGTGTCTGGTGCAATGGAGGATACCTGCTACCTGCAAGTCACCCTCTTGTCTCTAGCTGGCTATGCATAAGGCTGGCATGTGGCTGTCCCTCAGGGCTTCTTCCAAAGGGCAGATGGGAACCTACCCATCCATGTTTCTAAAATCAGATTCTAGCACAGGCTACTGAGGACCACTGCCATATTTCTTTGTCACGCCAGCAGCTCCCTGGGAGCCAGAATGTCCCGTTCAGAGAGGCCTGGCTGTGGGGCCTCTGCATGTCTCCCTGTGAGACCCTGAAGGAGAGCAGCCTTGCAGATGGCGTTACACGGGATCATCCGTCACAGGGCTGGCATCTCTGCCCTCTCTCTTCCCGCTGGTCAATAGCAGGCATGCTAAGGGGCCCTTCACTGCTAAGTGCTCACAGTGGTAGGATGAGAAAATAGCAGGTGACATTTTCCCACGTGTATCCACACAACATTAACCCCACGGAGTCACCCAGCAGCACAGAGGTGAAGGGATGGCAAGGACCTGTGTTTCACAGATGAGGAAATGAAGGCCTGGATGGTCCCCAGAACTCTCTGCCTCACCCCAGATGCCTTCTCTCTGTTCAGAGCGAGGATGCCTCAGAGGCCTCCAGTGTCTGGCCCTCTAGGGAGTTTTCCGTGGTGTTCCCAGCAGCCTCGTGCCAGACCCCCATGCCAGCTCAGGCCTGTGGGCAGATCCTGGCTCTGTCCTCAGCAGCGTGACTCCTGGTAATTTCTTTGCTTTTCTTGGACAGTCTGGCTGGTGGGCTTCCCCTGTGAGGTCTGGTGAGGAGGTTTGTGGGTGAGGAGTAAGTGGGGTTCCTCTCCCAGAACCCAGCTGTTTTCCATGCCGGGTGCTGCGTGCTGTCGGCTCATTGGATGGTGCCCCCAACTCCACGATGAAGGGGCTATCTCCAGTTTTTAGATGGGACGGTTCCCCCTGAGGTTTTGGAGGTGAGGGCCAGGTTGGCTCCAGAGCCCAGCAGTCAGAGGCTCCTGCTCCTGTTGTGCTGCTGAGGTTCTTGGCCACAGTGCCTGCCCAGAGCCCATCCAGGCTGAGCCCTGGGAGGTCCCAGGAGGAAGTGGGGTTCAGGCCAGCTTGAGGGAGGGTGGGAGCTCAGCAGGAGAAAGGCTCAAGTGACCCTCTGGAAGAAAGAGCTGCGGCAGGCCTCCCCGGCTGTGCCTGTCCCGGGCCCGGGCGTCCAGAACAGAGCAGCTGGCTACCCGCTGCTTCTAATCATCCTGCTCCCGGGAGGCCCTGCCAGCGGCTCTCAGAGCAGCCTCGTGTGTGCAGGGAGTCACCAAACCTGTGCATGCTTCTGGGTCCTGAGTTCCAGGGCCCTGGATAAAGGGTGAAGGGTCACCGTTTGATGCCCAGACCTTGGGTTGGGGAGAAGCTGAGCTTTCAAGGTTTGGGTGTGCAGTCCCATGTGTGGGTGTGCAGTGGAGGCAGCAGCAGGTCGGAGGTTTTGGGGTGCTGATGTCGATCTTGCAGACTCACATGCTGTGAAGTCAAACCAACCCAGTGCAGGTCCCCACCCCAGTCCCACCGCTTCCCAGCTGTGTCCTTCAGGCAGCTCTCGCTACTGAACAGTGGCGGGATCTGAGCTGAGGCTGAGGTACCGAAGGAGAAGGGTGGGGCTTCGGGGGGTCCGGGGCTGCCTTCTTGGAGCCCGAAGTCTGTAGCAGAAAGCAGGTTACGTGGCTGTGTTTCAGTTCTCTGCTTTGCACTCCCTCCCGTTAGTTTACTTATTTGCGTGTGTGTGTGTGTGTGTGCACATGTGGGTACATGTGCATTCAAGTGCGTGAGTATGCGCCTATTGTGCACCTTCTCTCTGACAGCGTGACCTCCAGGACAGTTCCAGCTCAGGATGGCTTTCTTCTGAGGCACCCCTGTGCCTGTCACAAAGTCAACTCGCCAAATACCAGGAAATGAACAAACTCCAAGAGAAAAAGGACCAAGTCCAGGAACAAGACAGTCGCCAAGGAAAACTGAAAACAGCCAGGAGACCGCGTGGGCCCTGCCTCTCATGTGAGACTCAAGCAATGACAGTGTCTGCTGTGACTGGTGGGGGTGCAGGTGCTGGTGGTGTGGGGACCAGCATGGGGGGCAGAGGGGCCCCAGCCCCAGATTCCTGGAAGGCAGCTTGGCCTGCGCCTGCCATAGAAGGTTTTATATCACTCACTCCCTTCGACCCAGCAGTCTTCTTCTGGGGTTGCCTCATCCTGACATAGCTGGATGGGAGCCTTCGGCTGTGCATGCGGCTGCCGTGGGCTCTATACGCTATTAGCCACTGTCTGCTGCAAAGCTGGAAATGAACAAATTGTCCACAGGCAGAAGGGTGGTGACGAGAGGACGCTGCAGCCACAGCAGGCTCACCAGGCAGCCATTCTGGCAGCAGGGACTCAGGTTTATTGCCGTGGAAACGTGCCCGTGGTGTATATTATCGTGTGTGAGGCAGGCCACGGGCAGCATGTCCCAGATGGGACCACTTCATAAATTCTCTCTCTCTCCGTCGCTCCAGCTTGCTAGCTCTGCATAAGAATAACGTGGAACATGATGCTTAAAAACCTGTTCGCCAACACTGAATAGCTCCAGAGGATGGCGGCGCCAGCGATTTTCCTCCATTTCACCATTCCTTCAGGTGTTGTCTTCGTTTTTTATGTTTTTTGCAGTCAATGCTTATTACTTTAATAACTGCAAAACCGTTATTTTTATATTTTTGAGTGGCTCTTCTGTGCTCATTGCTGGAGGCAGGGGCCTGGTCTCCAGAATGCACCCTTGACTCACCTTAAAGGAACAAAGTATCCATTTATGACGTTTCTTGAGCACCTATCAGGCTGGGCGCAGCGCCAGTCTTGTGCACATGGCAATCTTGAGGGCCCTGGGCTGCTGCTCTGCGAAGTCACAGTTACCACCCACAATTCAGAGAGGCCAGGTGGCCTGCCCGGGGTCCCACAGCAGGGACCTCGCCCAGGTGGGAAGAAGGTCATTCATTCTCCTTTCCCAGGCACATGAAAGAGTCGGCCAATGAAAGGTGTGTCACCATTGGACTCTCCTGGCCTTAGGCAGTGTGGCTGCACAGGTCCTGCTGGGTGTGGGGGATGGGCAGGAATAAGAGGGAGGCTGTCTGAGCCTGGGGCTGGGGAAGGGAGGGAGGCGGAGGCCTGGCCAGGGGCAGCGTGGGACTGTGGGAGTGAGCTCAGTGTCCTGGGGGTGAGTCGTCCACACGCTGGGCTATGGCTTCTCCAGCAGGAACGTGGGTACACAGCTCTGCCAGCCCTACCTCCTGGGCTGATGTGAGTACCAGGGGGTGCGGTGGGCAGAAGGGGCTGTGAGCAGGATCACAGGGCTGTGGTGCTGGTGGGGTGCATGCTACCCCCTGAGCTGGGGCCAGGTGACCAGAGCTGTGCTGCTGACGTGGCGCGTGCCACCCCTAAGCTAGGGCCAGGTGACCAGGGTTGTGCTACTGACATGTTTGTGCTACCCCTGAGCTGGGGTCAGGTGACTAGGGCTGTGCTGGTGGTGTGGCACGTGCCACCCCTGAGCTGGGGCCAGGTGACCAGGACTGTGCTGCTGATGTGGCATGTGCCACCCCTGAGCTGGAGTCAGGTGACCAGGGCTGTGCTGCTGACATGGTGTGTGCCACCCCTAAGCTGAAGTCAGGTGACCAGGGCTGTGCTGCTGACATGGTGTGTGCCACCCCTAAGCTGAAGTCAGGTGACCAGGGCTGTGCTGCTGGTGTGGCGTGTGCCTCCCCCTGAGCCAGGATCAGGCAACCAGGGCTGTGCTGCTGATGTGGCATGTGCCACCCCTGAGCCGGGGTCAGGTGACCAAGGCTGTGCTGCTGACATGGCACGTGCCATCCCCTGAGCCGGGGTCAGGCGACAGGAGGTGCCCCCTGAACTGAGAACACTGGACATTCACGGCACTGTGCCACGGGCTTAGTAGGTATTGACCGTTTAATCCTCTACAAAGCAGATAACGCTATTGTGTCTGTTTTACAAATGAGGAAACAGCCCAGAGAGGCTCAGGGACTGGCCTGATGCCACACAGCTCATAGGTGTCTCTACTGGTGTGCGCCCAGCACGCTGGCCTCCTGATGCCATGAGCTCAGAGTAGGGAGGGTCAGCTCCATCGAGGAAGGGAGCTGAACACTCCTGGCCACGTGCCCTGGCTGCAGATGCTTTGGCCATGAATGTGGAAAGTCAGTCCTCCCCTTTCCCGGATGTCTTGGAGGGACATGTTTATGGAACTCCGGCCCCAGTTACCACAAGCTGGGTGGCCTGAAGCCCCAGGCATTTGTTGTCTCCAGGTGCTGGGGCCAGAATCCAAAATCCAAGTGCTGGCAGGGCCGAGCCCCCTCTGAAGGCAGGAGGGGAGCCTTTTTCGCTGCCTCCTAGGAGCTGGTGGCTTTGGCAGCGTGTGGTGCCCTGTGACTTGCAGCCACATCACGCCAGTCTCCACCTCTGCCTTCACGTGGCCTTGTTTTCTGTGTCTCTGTGCCCAAATACCCCTCTTCTTTCATTACAAGGACACCAGTCATTGGAGTCAGGGCTCCCCTAAACCCAGGATGACTTCAAGATCATTAATTGCATCTGCAAAGGACTTCTTTCCAAATAAGGTCCTGTTCTGCGGTTCTGAGTGGACGTGTGGTCTGGGGAGACACCGCCCAACCCACTGTAAGCTCCTCATGGCGTGGCCTTCCAGGACACCCCCGCCCCACCTTCATTTGAGAGGAGCTGCTGTGTGACTGGAGTGGAGCTTCCGCCCCTCTCTGGTCCCCTTGGTTGAGTGACAGGCTGATGAGACTGTCTGGTCTCTGGTGCTGTGTGGTGGGAAGATGCCTGGGGCTGGTGTGGAGAGCTGCTGGTCCTGGTTAGGCTGCCCTGAGACTACAGCTCTGGGCTGAGTCTGCAGCCCGGCCTTACTCATAGGGGCTGGGTGTGGCCTTCCCGCTGGGCCTGGGTCTCCACCAGCCTCCGTCTGTCTCTGCTTCTGCCCATCCATCCCAGCAGGACAGTGGGGCCCAAGCTTCTACTTGGGAGATGAAGATGCGCCTGGGCTCCCAGGAATCAGAATCCCAGGAGGAGAGGGGACATTAGAAACAGAAGACCCTTCCCTCAAGTTACAGGTGGGGAAACTGAGGTGCAGGTTGGGAAAGCCATTTGCCCCAGCTCATGCCAGTCTGTTCATGGTTTATTCATTCAGTGATTGAGCAGTGTGTGCCTCAGCGCTTCCTGGGCAGGCCTCTGCCCTCCTGGAGCACAGCCCCTGCCAGGGACTCAGACCCAGCTGGCACCTCTGGCATTTCATGGACCATCAGGAAATCCTCAGCCCGGGTGAGACTTGATCTTGAGGGAGTCAGGGAGGGCTTCACCAAGGAGGAGGCAGGACTCAAGATGAGGCTGGGGATGACCAGAGCTGGGCAGGTGCATCTGAGGCAGGAGAGCATGGGGACCCAGCACTTTGAATCCCAGCCCTGAGTTGCCAGAGGGAAGGATGGGTAGAGGAGGGTCCAGGCCTCACTGTGTCCCATAGCATCGAGGGAGGCTTTGCCCTGGTCCCAACCACAGCGCTCGGTGGTCACCTGCAACCCCATGTCACAGATGAGGACACGGAGGCCCTCAGTGGTAGAAGGGCTTGCTGGACTTCATACAGCCTTGGGTGACAGCCAGGAATGGAGCTCCAGTTTGCCAGCTGACGACGAGCATGTTCTTTCCATTGAACCACGTTCCGTCTTCAGGAACTTCCATTTTTCAGAAGGGATGTGTCACTTCGCTTCTGGCAAACCTAACTCCGGGGACACATGCCTCTGTGAGGGTCTTCACTGCAGTGCATTCTGCCCAGCTGCGATGGCAGCCTCCAGCCACCAGTGTCCGATGTGCCTGCTCTGGGGTGGGGAAACAGAGGCCAGGAGATTTTGAGACTTGCTTGTCCTTCCACAGCACGTAAGGACAGGAGCTCAGATTTGAAGACAGGCAGCCTGGCTCCAGAGCTAGAGGCATCCCTCCATCCATCTATCCATTCTTTGTTTTGGAGACAGAGTCCAGCTCTAGGGCCCAGGCTGGAGAGCCCTGGCATAATCTTGGCTCACTGAAATCTCTGCTTCCTGGGTTCCAGCGATTATTCTGCCCCAGTCTCCTGAGTAGTTGGGACCATAGGCATGCGCCACCATGCATGGCTAATTTTTGCATTTTTTGTAGAGACGGGGTTTCACCATATGGCCAGGCTGGTCTCGAGCTCCTGACCTCGTAATCAGCTAGCCTCAGCCTCCAAAAGTGCTAGGATTATAGGCATGAGCCACCACACCCAGCCATTCATTCATTCTTCAGCCCATTTGCTTATTCATTCATTTACCGTTACTTCCTGAATGTCCTATCTGAGTCGAGCTTAGGGTTGGGTATCGGTATATATGTGTGGACAAATGTCTTACGTTCTAGTGATGGGGACACTTACATCGTTTTATAGCAGAAGGACTTTCCATCTGGGCACCTGCACAGACCTGGGCCCCTTGTCTCCTTACCCATGAGGCCTCAAACCTGCCTGTCCCCGACACACTGCTATCTGTAGAAGTCAGGGAGGGAGAGAAACCACCCAGACAGGGAGGGGACAGGAGCCTGTCTTTAAATGGCGGCTTTAACTCTTTCTTACCCTCAATCCTGGCACCCCAGTGTAGGGAGGAGCTGCTACATGAGCTAATGTATGTAGAGGTGCACCCCCTCCCATGTTCTGGCCTCTATGCTTTTGTTATTGCAGCCCAAGGATAGTTTTGCAACAATCACATGAGCTTATGGTCAACTGGAGCCACCTGACCCTTCTCAGGGGCTTCTGTGCTGTGGAGTCTTAGGCATCACAGAGGACTCTTTGGACATTGGGTTTGGGGCTTGCCACATTTACCGATTTTGCTTTTGTACAATGTAACTCTTTGTGGGTTATGGCAAATACACTGTTTCTTTTAGAATAGGTTTAGATTCACAAAGTAAATGTGAGGACAGCAGAAAGAATTCCTGCATAGACCACCTCCGTTTCCCTATGGTTAATGTCTCAGGTGACTGTGGTATGCTGGTCACAATGAATGAATCAATTCTGGTGCATTGTTACTCACTAAACATATGAGATTCAAATGTCTTCAGTTTCCATCTCAGTTCTTTTGATGCCCCAGGAATGGGCTCCTCTCAGCAGCAACAGCTTCTCACACCTCCCTTGCTTTTGACCACAGCGTCAGGTGTTTTGTAGAATTTGAGTTTGACAGTTTTTTTATTACACTGGATTCCATGTTTCTGGGAGACAGGCCATGGAGTTAAGATGCCGCTCTCACCATATCGCACTATGGACGTGGCTTATCCCCGATGCTGTTGGCCTTGGTCCCCTGGCTGAGGATGTGCTTGTCAGGCTTCTCAGCTGTGACATTTCCCCCCTTCTATACTGCACACTTTGGAGGGAAGTCACCGTGCACAGCTCTCACTCCAGGAGCAGGGGCTATACTTCATCTCCCCAAGGGCAGAGCATCTACAGGGAAATCTTTAGACGTAAATGATTAGGTCTATCTATCTATCTATCTTTTAATTATCTATCATCCATTTGTCTATTCTGTCATTTATTTATCTGTTATCCATCTATATACTCTATCATTTATGTATCTTTCTTCCATCTATTCTATCATCTACCTATCAAGCATTTAATTATCTACCTACCTACCTACCTACCTACCTATCCATCCATTCATCCATTCAATCATGTATTTTATCAATATGGACTCAAGGATACATATTTTGTACTTAGGTTATAATTCATGACCACCTGATTTTTGCTGCTGAAATGGTTCCACTCTGGCCATAGGGAACTTTCAGTGGGCTTCTGTGCCCGTGGGACACAGCCTGTCATCAGGTTTTGCAGGGGCATTTCCTTACTTTCTGGCACAAGGAGATGCTCCAGCCTCATCTCATCTATTTCCTGCTGCAGCCCGAGACTCAGCCATTTCTCGCAAAAGCCCTGGCTCCTTTAGAGTTGAAGAATGGTAGGTGTGCTCACGGCTGCAAGGGTGTTGCTTGAGCCAGGAAGAGTGGTGTATATGTAAGCTCATGTATATGCACATATCTGCAATGTGAGCTCATGTATATACACGTATCTGGAATGTGAGCTCATGTATGTATGCATATCTGTAATGTGAGCTCATGTATATATACATATTTGCAATGTGAGCTCATGTCTGTAACGTGAGCTTGTGTATATACACATATCTGTAATGTGAGCTCATGTATATCCACATATCTGCAATGTGAGCTCATGTATATCCACATATCTGCAGTGTGAGCTCATGTATATACACATATCTGCAGTGTGAGCTCATGTATATACACATATATGCAATGTGAGCTCATGTATATCCACATATCTGCAGTGTGAGCTCATGTATATACACATATCTGCAGTGTGAGCTCATGTATATCCACATATCTGCAATGTGAGCTCATGTATATCCACATATCTGCAGTGTGAGCTCATGTATATACACATATCTGCAATGTGAGCTCATGTCTGCAATGTGAGCTCATGTATATACACATATCTGCAGTGTGAGCTCATGTATATACACATATATGCGATGTGAGCTCCTGTCTGCAATGTGAGCTCATGTATATCCACATATCTGCAGTGTGAGCTCATGTCTGCAATGTGAGCTCATGTATATCCACATATCTGCAGTGTGAGCTCATGTCTGTAATGTGAGCTCATGTATATCCACATATCTGCAGTGTGAGCTCATGTCTGCAATGTGAGCTCATGTCTGCAATGTGAGCTCGTGTATATCCACATATCTGCAGTGTGAGCTCATGTATATACACATATCTGCAATGTGAGCTCATGTATATACACATATCTGCAGTGTGAGCTCGTGTATATACACATATCTGCAGTGTGAGCTCATGTATATACACATATCTGCAGTGTGAGCTCATGTATATCCACATATCTGCAGTGTGAGCTCATGTCTGCAATGTGAGCTCATGTATATCCACATATCTGCGGTGTGAGCTCATGTCTGCAATGTGAGCTCATGTCTGCAATGTGAGCTCGTGTATATACACATATCTGCAGTGTGAGCTCGTGTATATCCACATATCTGCAGTGTGAGCTCATGTATATCCACATATCTGCAGTGTGAGCTCATGTATATCCACATATCTGCAGTGTGAGCTCATGTATATACACATACTGCAGTGTGAGCTCGTGTATATACACATATCTGCAGTGTGAGCTCATGTATATCCACATATCTGCAGTGTGAGCTCATGTATATACACATATCTATATGTAATTCCATGGGTATCCATGGGTATCTCCATGAAGCATTGTTTCAGCTGGCTCCTCCAACTCGCATCCATGATCTCCTGGTCCTCCCTCCTTACCTGTGACCTCTCTCTCCAGCAGTGAAACCCTGCTCCTCCCACTCACCAACTCACATCCATGATCTCCTGGTCCTCCCTTCTTACCTGTGACCTCTCTCTCCAGCAGTGAAACCCTGCTCCTCCCACTCACCAACTCGCATCCATGATCTCCTGGGTCCTCCCTCCTTACCTGTGGCCTCTCTCTCCAGCAGTGAAACCCTGCTCCTCCCACTCACCAACTTGCATCCATGATCTCCTGGGTCCTCCCTCCTTACCTGTGACCTCTCTCTCCAGCAGTGAAACCCTTCTCCTCCCACTCACCAACTTGCTTGCTCCGTTATTGGGTCAGAACCTTTTTCCTTCCCACTTGTCACTGTGGGTTTTGATCACAGATCGCCTCTGTTGAAAACTTTGGAAATAAAGGAAAGAACAAGGAAAAAGTCTAAATCACCAAACATTGCACTCTCCAGGGACCCTCTGCAGCTCCTTGGGGTTCACTGTCTCTGGCTCATCCATCCTGTCTGTTCCCCGAGGCAGTCTCATCTCACTGGCCTCAGAGGAGCCGTTCGTTCACTCCGGACACAGTTTATGATGTTTTACCAACAAATATCACACCTACTGCGCATCCAGTGTGGCCTGAGCCTCTAGAAATTCTCTGGAGAAAAATGGGCAAGGCAGTTCCTCCCTGAGACCCTTCCAGCCTGAGGCTGTGGAGATAGAAGCCCATCAAGTTGTCACGTGGCACGTGTGAAGCTGGGACTGTGGTGAGTCCTGGGACACCTGGGAACGGTGATCTGGGCCCTAGGACAGGGGTGTCTGACCTGGTCAGGAAGGCCGGAGAGGGCTTCCCTGAGGAGGTGTCCCTGGATGATGACCGGAAGAATAAAGGGGACTGAGAAAGAGTGGAGGGAAGGACATTGTGGGCAGAGGCTGCAGCCTGGCTGAAGGTCCCCAGGCAGGAGCAGCAGGGGTTCTAAAGGTGCCCAGCATGGTCAGTGTGGCTGGGACACAGGTGAGGGCATGGCTGGGAGTGGACTCTGGGGACTCTGAAGGGCTACCAGCCACAGAGCCCCAGAGCATGCCGAGCAACTTGCTTTGTCTAAGTACCTGGGAGCCATGGAAGGGTTTTGAGCAGAGGAGAGTCACAGTGAGATGTGCACTCTGGAGAGAAAGTGCCCTCTGTCCTGTGGGCGCCATGGAGAGGCTGAGTGGAGGAGGCTGGAGTCCAGGAGGCTGTGCTGCACAGCAGGGGAGTGCTGGCCCTGGCCGGGCTGATGGAGTCCTGGAGCTGGCATTCACTTTACGACTCCATGCTGCTCATTCCAAGCTCGCAGAGGCCTCCACCAGCTCCTCCTTCCCCAGGGCCTTGGCACTAGCTGGTCTCCCCCAGGCATTCCCGCTATCTCCCCTTCCTCCCTGACTCAGGGCTCCCCTTCCTCAGGGCTCGGCCTGGTGCCAGCTCACCCTCCGAGGCCCGCCTCCTGCCCTTCCTGACCTTGGCTCCTGGTTCACTTCCTGTTACAGCCGTTGTTTCTGCCGCTGATGGTTTTCCCCACTTCCCTCGCTGCTGCCCCCAAGGGACTGTGACTGATGATGGGGGAAGGGTGCTCTGTGGCGCCCCTGGTGCTGGCAGGATGAGCGGGCAGGGCTACCAGCTGCAGGAAGGGCCCAAGAGCACAAGAGCACAGGCAAGATGCCTGGGAGTTCCCTCCCGGGCCAGCCGGCTCTGGGCTCGAAAGTTCCCTCCAGGGGCTGGGTGTTCTCGGCTCACAGGCTCCCTCCTGGGCTGGGGCTCTTGGTTTTGGTTCTGGGCTCAGGGAAGTCACTGACTTTGGTTTGATCCCAGCCGGGGAGGCAGCTTTGTTATTCAAAGGGAAAACGTGCTGAAGCTGCAGCTGAAACCCAGAGAAAAACGAGAGGTCCTCACTTCCGTGGCATCTCCTCTCTCAGTGCCCCGCATAGATTTCGGAAGCCTGCTGCTGGGGCTCTTTGTCCTTCAAATCCCCTTTTTACCCAGGGCTACACTGTGGCTGCTCAGACTCACTGGTTGGGGGCTCCAGTTAATCAAAGTACAGAACGTAAACTCCTGGAGGGTCACCTCGTCGCCTGCCCTGCCTCCACCTCTCGTTTTACAGCTGGCAATGCCCAGGGCTCCCAGTGAATCAGCTGCTGACCTGGGTCCTGCTCCTTTAGTGCCTGGGTACCTGGGTTGGAGCAGAGGGAGGCTTGGAGGGAGCTGGGTGTGGCTGGCATCTAATGGGCTCTCTGGTGGGGTCTCACCCTCACGGGCATTGCTGTTTTTACTGTGGCTGAAGTGAGCTGCCTTGGAGACCCCCTCAGCCCCGATGGTGTGAACTCAGGCAGCTTCTGTGCCTCAGGAGGGGTCCCCAGAGACAGCTGGGGCTGACTCCCCACACAGCAGGGTCTCCAGTGGGGGCCTCCCAGGTTCTGAGCTCTCCGGGGAGAAGCCTGCAGGAAAGCTGCTGGGGATTGCAGGAGAGGAGCTGGGGGGATGGGCTGGGGTGGGGGTTACCACACCAGTAGTTCTGCTGGAAGCTATTGAGGGCTGAAATGGGTGGCGGTCATTCATTCATTCATTCGTTCATTCATTCATTCATCAGATACTGTGCACTGAGTCCTGCCGTGTGCCAGACCTGCTCCGGGTGCTGGGAACATGGAGGCACCTCTGCCCTCAGCCCCTGAAGCCTGTGGAGGAGATATGGATGTGAAAAGCAAGGAGAACAGCGACGGAAAATCAGGGCAGAGCCTGCTAAAGGGCAAGCCAGAGACCCCAGAGCCCTGTGTTGAAACTTGACCCCAGAGGTGATGGCATGAAGAGGTAGGGTCTGCAGGAGGCTCTGCCCTCAGGAATGGGACGGGAGGGTCTGAGGAGCTTGTTCGTCCCTTCCAGCACTTGTTCGGCCGCCTAGAAGCAGGGAGATGCCAAGCCTGCCAGTGCCTGGATGCCGGCTTCCCCGCTTCTGGAACAGAACCTCTCTGTGGCTGTGAATTATTCAGTCCATGATATTGTTCTTATGCAGCACAAATGGACTAAGGCGTGGCAGCATGGCTTTCTGAGAAGGTGGCATTTGAAAAAGGCTGTAAGAGGAGACAGAGCGGCGCCATGTGCCCTTGGGAAGTCCACCAGGCAAAAGGAGCCGCACGTGCTAGGCCGGGGTGGAGCTCAGCTGGGGGACCAAAGAGCAACCACAGGGATAGACCAGGGTCAAAGGCAGTGGGCCAAGTCCTCTGGGTGCAGCAGGACATGGCAAGGCCACAAGTTTTACTCTCCCTGAGTGGAAAGCCCAGGAAAGTGTCTGGGGCACAGATGGCATGACCTGACTTAGGTTGGAGAGGGTGGCTCTGACTGCCCACTGGGGGGATGGCAGTGCAGGCAGGTGGCCAGGAAGCTGCAGCAGGGACTCAGGTATGTGTGTGGGTGGGGGATGGGGTATCTGGGTGGCAGAGGCAGGCATGAAACTCAGCAAGAGGCCAGGCTCCCCACTCTGCACAGCTTGATTTCCATTCCCCCACTGCACCCCGGCCTGGGCTCTGTTCTTCCCCCAACAGGGTCAGGTTGAGCGGCAAGTGGCAGCACTGACACATCTACACTCTCTCTCCAGGACCCCCGCGTCACAGGATCCTGTAGACACACACGTCACATCAAACCCCTGAGGATGGGCCTGTGCCCACAGTCAGACTCCAGCTCAGGTTCGAGCGAAGGATTGAGGCAAGACCTAGAAAGACCAGGGAGGGGACGGTGGGGTAAGGGTGGTCCTGGCCTCAGCCATGGGGGCTGGGCTCACACCCCCACTAGGGGCATGCACATTCCAGCCCTCGGGGCATGTGTGGGCAAAGGGCTCCAGGACCCCAGGTGGTCCTGAAAGAGTGGTGGACACCTGCCATTGACGCAAGGCGGAGGAGGAATGAGCAGAAGTGACGAAGGGGCTGGCTGGAGCAGCGGGTCTTGGGACCACTGGGACAGCTGCTGGCAGCGTGGGCTCTGCTCTAGGTGGTGCTGCGCAGACAGCAGGGCTGTCCTGGGGCTGTGGGCAAAAGCTGCCCACAGACAGCCTCAGCCCCATGAACCCTGGGGCTGTCGGAGCTGGAGGGCTACAGGGAGGACCCGTTGTCCATTCACCCACTCGGGAAATGGTTGCTGAGCAGGTGCCTGTGTGAGGTTCTCAGTATGGACATGCCTAGAGCAAGGCCCTGCTGCCTGGGAGTCTGCTGTCTAGGTTCCCTCAAACATCCAGCCAGCCACCCCCATGCACTCACCAAGCATCTGTGGGCAGAGGCCACAGGATGTCACTGAATGCATGGCCATCTGCCACGCCTCTGCCCACGAACTCAGGGTGTGTGGCCTTGCCTTTGTCCCCACCTCCCTGCAGGCTGCTGGGTCCCCATGGCGGGCGCTGCCTTATTGGTCCCTGAGTCCCTGGAGCCAGGCACATCACAGGTGCATGCTGGGGTCCAGTGGTGGCAACTGTACTCTTCTGCTCCAACCCAGTGCTTTTTCTATGTGATAGGCTCGATAGGCTCTCTGTGCCTCAGCTTACCTGTCTGTCCTGTCTGCCTCACAGGCAGGACATTTGGGCATGGGGAAGGCAGAGAGGGAGAGACGTAGAACCTAGGGCCTGGTGGTGCAGTGCTGAATGCCCATGCCCTTGCCAAGTTCACAGGTTGAAATCCCAGCCCCTGATGTGATGGTATCAGTAGGGGGCCTTGGGGAGGTGAGGACCCCACCCAAGGGTCATCAGGGTGGGGCCCTCACTAGTAGGATCAGTGCTCTCATGAAAGGGGTCTCAGAGAGCCCTCTCGCGCCCTCCACTCTATGCAGACACAGTAGGAGGAAAGCCATCTGCAGCCACAATATGTGTCTGTGGCTTAAGCCACCAGGACTCTGGCACTTTGTCACAGCAGCCAAAGGGACTAGGAAAGGAGGGTTGTTTTTAAATCTCGGGCTCTGGTCCTGCAGGCAACGCCCTGAGCAAATCCTAGAACTACTCTGAGTATTTCTTGTCCCTAGAAAACAAAAGTATGCCATGTGTGACATAGGCCAGGCCTTAGCGAGGTCCCTCATGGGACGTCCAGGTCTTGCTGGGCACAGAGGAGACCAGCAGCCCACGGCCTGCGCTCCCTGGCCTTGGCTCGGCTGGTGTGGTGTGATGGACCCTTACACTGCCAGTCAGCACTGGGCAAATAGCCACCAGCTCTCATCCCTGTCCTCACATTCCCGTCTCGGTTCCTCCTCAGGACAGCCCGGGAGGGCTTCACATGTGGGGATGCAGTAAGGTCTCCCCAGCCAGCACTCAGGCTTGGGGCAGAGGCCCGGGCCTGGCCCCCTCACAGAGGAGGGCTGCAGTAGAAAGAGGTTCGCAACGGCAGTGATCTGCTGCAGTGAGTGGTCCTGGATGCGAGGGGGCCAGGGTGGAGCTCTCAGAAACTCCTGCCTTCTTGGATGCGCTGACAGCAGTAACCTGAAGAACTGCCTTGCTCTTCCTCATCCCCGTGGCTGTCCTCTGGGCAGACACAGGACCCCTGTTACAGGCCAGGAGTGCTCGAGGAGTGAGGCCTGGCCAGGCTCCTGCAGAGAGTGGGGCCCGGCCTGCAGGGGCTGATGCTTGTGGGCCTCCCAGGGTGCCTCACTGCCTCCACGACCAGATAGACTCCTGGGGCCACACTGAGCCCCTGCCCTGCTGGGGCCCCCCACTCCATCATGGGGCACTGAGCCTCTCAAGCTGGAAGGCAGGAGACGGCGGCCCCAGCAGGCAGCCCTGCAGCCAGCCCCTCGGCGGAGGCTCCTGGCACCTGTTTGCACCATTGAGCGTGAATTATGGCCCAGCCCAGGGCTAGCCAGTGTGAAGGAACAGTAAGTGCGCTAATTACCGAATGCCCTGCATGATTAACTAGGAAATTAATAGGCCAAATACTCCCTCTCTTCCTGGCCAGCGCCTTGGAACCCCGTAAACACACTGGAATCCAAATGCCGCTGAGTGGCTCAGCTCCAGGCCCGTCCATCCATCAGTGCTCGGCGACTCATGGGCCTTTCCAGAGCCCCGTCTCCTGCACTGGGGCCTCATTCCTGCCTCCATTTTCTCCTTTGTACAGCAGAGGCGATGCTGCCATGCTGTGGGCCTGCCCAGGGGGTTAGAGCAGAGATGGGTGTGAGGTGCACGTTCCACTTACAATGCCTCCTGACTCCTGCCCCAGCTTTCGCCCCAGCTTCCCACTTGCCTGCGGAGGCATTGCTGACCTGGTTGGCAGGAGTCTGAGGCTTTGACGCAGTGTCCTCTATGTGTTGTGGGTGACCCTAAAGGGTCAGCATTCATGCCCTCATGCTGCCAGACAGACAGCAGCAGCAGTTCCCCATCCTCTCACCCTCCTGCTTCCCCCGCCAAGGCTGTGAGTCTGGGGGTTCAGCTGCCTTGCACTCAGGGTGGGGAGCCCATGAGTCTGGGGGTCCAGTCACCTTGCACTGGGTGTGGGGGGCCCATGAGTTTGGGGTCCAGCTGCCTGGCACTGGGTGTGAGGAGCCCATGACTCTGGGGGTCCAGCCACCTGGCACTGGGTGTGGGGAGCCCATGAGTCTGGGGGTCCAGCCACCTGCACTGGGCGTGGGGAGCCCATGAGTCTGGGGTCCAGCCGCCTGGCACTGGGTGTGGGGAGCCCATGAGTCTGGAGGTCTAGCCGCCTTGCACTGGGTGTGGGGAGCCCTCTCCAGTCCCCCTGCCTGTCGGCTCTGCAGGAAAGGACAGTGGTGAGGAGGGTGTGGGGCTGGGCTCAGCCACTAAGCCCACTACACTCAGAATGGGACCTATGGGGCTGGAAAGCATGGCAGGGCTGTCGGGAAGGACAGGAAGATCAGCACCCAGTCCTGGACTCGCATTTTAAAGGGAGGTAAACTGAGGCTCATGGGGCACAGGTCAGGCATCCCAAATTCTGTGCAGCCTATACCCTGCCCCCCATGAGAGGGATGATGGGCTGTGACCACAGCACCCCTGGGCCTCATGCACCCCCATCCTTCATCTCCTGCCTTCCCCTCCTGGGAGGGACAGGCCAACAAAGACAGGCTGTCCCTTGAGGTTGGTTGGCAGGTGCACATCACAGAATGACGGGGCCAGAGTCCGACCAGCTTGGTCTGCTGTGCAGCCCCACCACTCACACCCTGAGTGACTGTGGGAGATGGTTTATCCCTTGAGGCCTTGGTTTAGCCATCTGCGATGTGGGCAAAGGTGCACCTCTCATGAGGTAGTCAGTACATTGCATTCATTGGGAGGGTTTTCTAAAGTCCTCAGAACAGCATTTGGCCTGGGTAAGGGCTTCCAGGGAAGCTGGTCAGGCAGGCGGGGGTGGGGGCCTGTGGGGGTGGGGGCCCGCGAGGTGGGGCCACGGCTGAGGGCAGCAGGGAAGGGCATGGTGTGCTGGAGCCAGCAGGGCCAGAGCAAGCTGAAGGCACAGAGGCAGGTGCGGGAGGTGGAGAGGCTGACAGCAGAGTTACTCACCAAATGTGTCACATTAGCAGTAATCTGGCGCATTTTTGAGGTCATTTTCTCTGGGGGCCACTTTTGAGCATTTCAAGGATTTTAGTCCATTTGTTCCTCTGGTAGTGAACATCCAGCACGTGAGCTCATTCCAGCTGTGCTCTGGGAGGAGCAGGCAGGGAGGTGTGGCATTGGCAGAGGCCCAGCAGGACCCCAGGAAGGGGCTCAGGGGGCAGCAGGAGCGTGGAGGGCAACCCCCCTCCACACAGGGGGCCGGGAGACTGGCGCAGCTCCATCTCAACCCTGTCACAAACTGAATTCCATCAGGATTAGCATTAAGCATATTTTTTAAAAATTAGGGCACAGAAAAGTGAGAATTAAGTAGAATTTAATATTCATCAGGCCTGGAGAGAGGGAAGATTTCCTAAGTTTAGAACTAATACAAGGAATCAGGAGAGAAAATATGGACAGATTTGATTGCATAAAAATGAAAATCTTCTGCAAGTCAAAATTAAACCATCAAATAAACTGGCAAAAAAAAAAAAAAAAAAAAAAAACCATGGCCTGGGAAATGTATTTCCAGCAAATATGACAAAGACTTAGTTTCTTTATTAAATACAGACCTCATAAGAATTTCTGTAAAGACATGGAAATGCATATGATATAAAGTTTGATTGTTTTTAAGGGGGAAGGGGTTATTAAAATGCTGAAAGTTTTATGCGTGGAGAAAAACTGATTGCATGAGTGCTGTGAAGATGAGAACGATTTCGGCAGGTGCTAGGGCTGGCAGTGATTCATTTGTCTTTTTCTTGGCATTTTTCTGTTTTTTCTTTTTTCTAATTTTCTTTAAGGGGTACATTTTGTCTAAACATATGATAGGAGTTGGTTAATATTTTGTGATCTATTGTTGTTTTATAATAATTCTTAGCAAAAACCACTGTTTAAGCGAGTGCTGTGCATGAAATATTTTCTGCACATCATCTCATTTAATCCACAGGATGCCCATGGGAGGTACTTATTATGCCCATTTTAAAGATATGAAAACCGAGACTCAAAGAGGTGAAGGACTCCAGCCAGGCACGACAGCTGGTAACGGGGAGAGCTAGGTTTGCATATGAGGCCCGGGCCCCGAGCTGTGCAGCAGGATGTGTGGTGCCCAGAGCGGAGGGTCCCTCTGCAGCCCCATGACATCTCCTACATGCATTCTGCCCAAGAGCGCAAACCTACCTCACCTGGAGGAGCGCAAACCTACCTCACCTGGAGGAGCCCAAACCTACCTCACCTGGAGGAGCGCAAACCTACCTCACCTGGAGGAGCGCACACCTACCTCACCTGGAGGAGCGCAAACCTACCTCACCTGGAGGAGCGCAAACCTACCTCACCTGGAGGAGCCCAAACCTACCTCACCTGGAGGAGCGCAAACCTACCTCACCTGGAGGAGCGCAAACCTACCTCACCTGGAGGAGCACAAACCTACCTCACCTGGAGGAGCGCACACCTACCTCACCTGGAGGAGCGCAAACCTACCTCACCTGGAAGAAGAGCCCCAGCATGTGCTGATGGGCTGAAGGACCCCTTGTCACTTGGGGAGGGAGGTGTGGAAACAGATAGGAAACAAAACAGGCCGATCTCTCCACAAGCAATAAATGCTTGCTGGAAATAAGAAAACAAGGCCGAGGTATTCTTAGACTAATTGACTCAAAATCCTTGAACTTGACAAGTTGGGGAAAAATAACAGAGAAAAGATGATGCAGAAACACTCGGAAGCAGCTGAACTTATCATCCTGGGATAGACACAGGCCACACTTGGTGCATTTTCATCATAATTGTGCTGTTAAGGGGGAGGTGTCCTTAGATGAATTGTCCTAAAAAGTCCTTGAAAAGCTTCAGATGAAAACAAACCAGGGGATAAAAGGCCTCAGAAAGAAAGCCCCATGTTGATGCAGATGGACCCTGTCCCTTCCAAGAGCGGAGCCCTGCACGTTCTGTTCTATGGCTCCAAGGTGGGGGCGCCTCTGCTTTGTCCGCCAGGGGCTGCAGGGAGCTGAGAAAGTCAGTGGTGTGGCAGGTGGTTGGAGCAGAGGGTCGACCACAGGTGGGTGGGCAGAGGGTGATATGGGCCCTCTCTGGGAGCAAGGGAGGCCTCCCTGGAGGAGGCATTTGTGGCCTTTGACTTTGTCATCAAAGGAGGGCAAAAGTTTCTCCAAAAAATTCCAGTGCCTTTGGAGAGTGTGAAGAAAAGTTGCAGAAATTAACAAACGCACTGTCAGTGGGGAAAAGGGACGTTGCAGGAAAGAAACTCTGACTTCCTCCATCTTCTCGAAACACTCCTCCAGGGAAGCTCCTGTTGTCCCCACTTCACAGACGAGAACACTGAGGGTCAGGGAGGATACAGAGCCCAAAGCCTCACGAATTTCCCAGCGCTTATCTCTATGACTATGCACCTGTGGCCCACTTTGCCTAGCCCTTAAGCTAGATTTGCACCATGCACTCAAAACATTTTGCCAAAGGAGGGTGGGGGGGTAGATGCCCCCTCCTTCAAGGCACGAGTTCTCTGGGTCTTCCTGATTGTTGTGCTGGGTCCCCTTCTTTGGTCTGACCTCAGGAACTCAGCGCACTGACAGGCAACTGTGCTTGAGCACCCAGCGGGCAGGGCCAGGCTTGATTCAGGTCCTCATCCAGCACCTGCGTGCAACTGGTGCCCCTTAGTCGTTCTTTGAACAACCAGAGCCAGGGGACACGTACGTGGCAGCTGGGAGAACTTTGGTGTGGGTGCTCCTGACTCCAGTTAAAATTAACTCAGGCTGCAAACATTTCAGTTCAACTCAATTCATCTCATTCGTCTCAAATTCTTCCAGCTCCCTCTGTTCAACTCAATCCCAGGCCCCCAGCTACCTCCTTCCAATTTTTGCTTTGACTCCTCAATTCAATTTATTTTAATTTCATTCTATTGGATTCCTTTCATTCAATTGGATTTCCTCTCTTCAGTCCGGCTAAATTCGATTCTTTCAATTCATTTCAATTGTCCTCAGCCCAGTTTGTTTTTTTTGTTTTTTTTTTTTTACTTTAACCAGATCCTGGCTGTTAATCCAACTTCAGTCAATTTTTCCAATTTGACCCAAACCCCATTCAGCTCACCTTGGGCCCTCCAGCTCCTTCTTGGACACCCTTGCTGGATGAGTGATCTCAATTTTGTCCTGGGCACCTTTGAGCACCTGAGTCCTGCAGGGCACAATCCTCCAGGATGTGTGACAAAGAGGCTTCCTCCTGGAGAAGGATCTGGAAAAAAGTTACACGCACGCAGACACACACACACAT